CATGCTGTATACTTAATAAATAAATAAATCTTAAAAAAAAAAAAAAAAAAAAAGACGAGCACTTGAAGTTGGGAGGGGAAAGTGTGGTGGGGACAGAGGAGAAATTGGAGGGCAAGGAATGGGGAGTGGAGTTGATCAAAATGCATGATATGCCTGTATGAAATTCTCTTCAAGCTCCACCACCTGCTTCAGCAATTGTTAGTAGATTTCCACTACCCTCTTCTTCCTCCCCTGACTGGCTTCTCCTCCCTTGTGTCACAGCCCTGCCCCCCACTTACCTGGATCCCCCTGTGCCAGTCACATAAGCAGCTCAAGTTCAAATCCTTCTTTCGGGGTCTGCTTTTTGGGAAGCCTGACCATGACCATGGTGAGGCAGAATTTGCATAATTGGGGAAGCAAGATGCTCTTCAGCTCAGAGGGCAACCACGGCAGGGCGTGCCGTCAAGCACAGGACCCCGGGGTGGGGCTGAGACCAAAGCACAGAGTGTGGAGGGGGCTGAGTCCCAAACCTCATGAACGGAGCCAACTATCTGGCCTTTCCAAACTGGACCCAAGTTGGGAGCGTCACTGAGCCTCTCCACGCAGCACGGTCTCTGGTCAAGCAGCCCTCCTCATAGTCTGTAGCTTTGACCTAGGCCAGCTCTTCCTCTCCCCGGCTTGGAGGGGAAAGGAGGTCAGGAGGGACATATGGGTTGCCCAGCATGTGGCCCACAGTTAACACCACAGGGAGATGCTGAGAGCTTTCTGTACATGAGGAAGCTTTTCACTCCTGCGCTGATGTGTGACTTGAGGCCAGACTTCATGGTCACCCAGCACTGAGGCCCTCTGCTGCTCCCTGCAGGCTTTTCCTGAGGGATCACAGGGGGAGGGAGGACCGTGTCAGGCTCTGGAAGCACCCCAGTTTTCCCCAGCTCCTCCATCCTGAGCGTCTTCAGCTCTGGCGTTTAATCCTTCTGCTTTGATGCAGGTCTTTTTTCCCACATCACCTGGTATGTGGTAGCTGTGTCCTGACGTACTGCCACTTTTGCCTAACTGGGGAGACCCTGGCCAAGTCCCAGGCGTCCTTCTTTCTCCCTTTCTGGTCTTCTTCACCAAGGAGTATGGGTTGTAGAGGTTCACTGTGAAAGGGACAGGCAGAACTGGGGTGGTAGCTCAGCTAGGAAAGTGGTTGCCTTGCAAACACAAGGACCTGAGTTCAATCCCCAGCACCCACTGGGGGAAAAATAAGCCGGAGTGGTAGCATATGTTTGTGTTCTCAAAGCTAGGGAGGCAGAGACAGGTAGATCTCCGGGGCTTGCTGGCCAGCCAGACTAGCCTGTTTGATGAGTTCCAGGCTAGTGAGAGACTCTCTTAAAAAAAGGGTGGAGGTGGGGAGGGAGAGGAAGGAGTGGATAGCCCGTGAGCAATGACACTGAAGGTTGCCTTCTAGTCTACACACACACACACACACACACACACACACACACACACACACACACCCTGAGCAGGTGACTTTCACCTGTAACAAGATCTTTTCAACAAATACAGTAATGACCTAAGCAACTGTTATGTTCCAGGCTGGGCTATCCCAGGACCCCACCCTCCAAACATCCAGAGTCCTAACTGCCCAGCAATTTTGAATCCGAGTCTTTGTACTTCCCAGCTGTCTGCCCTGTGCCTGCCGGCGGACCCTTTCGGAAACCAGGCTCTCTTGACTCAGCTGCTGCTGTACAGGTAATGCAGAGACACACACTTCTCATCTTTTCTTCTCCCACAGTGCCACCACTTCCTGACATCAGAGCTGGGATTTGAACCTAGGCCTCTTACCCCACAACACACATTCCTTCTGGTTCTAAGAATCAGGATAAAGAGCTGGTGAAGGAAATCTGTGGTGTTTTGCATAGACTCTGATTTTTTCCCCCCCTTTGCCATGTAAGTCACGGCTCCCTTGCTGGGGGCTGGAGTTCTCTCCTCCTGATTCAGGCTGCTGCTCTGATTGTCTTGGCCCAGCCTGGCTCCCTGCCTCCTGCTGTGCTGATCAAGAGCGCAGCTGCCTCGTCTCCCTGGGGGATGGAGGACTGGCCTCTCTCTGTCTCCTTCCTTGCCCGCGTCCCTCACCTGCTGCCATCGCCAGAGAGACCTTCAATCCCCGGCCCCAATGTGATGGATGAGGAAAGAAAATTTGGAAGGGGCTTAATGCTTTTACCGGCTGCCTCTAATTTCATTTTGAAGGGAAGGCGAAGGAAAGGGGCATGGGAGGACAGGAGCCGTTTCCCCCGGTGGAGACAAGCTGAGAATCAAGATAAATGGACGCTCTGCTCTTTTCAGTTCCTTGTCCTGGCCACCAAGCTGGGTTTTCTAGTACACAGTCTCCTGGCCACATTCCTGCTGGGTGCCCTGGGGCTAGCCGTGGTGGCTGATTGGATGCCCAAGGATGCTGGGGTCAGATGAGGGTTGATGTCCTGTCTACCCTTGGTCCTAGCCTTCCTGGTCAACTCAGATCCTCTGGAGACAGCTGCAGCTTGGGAAGCAGGGCAGGGAGTTTCTTAGAGGTAGCTTGACTCTAGATTCAACTACATGTGCTTACTCATTGTTGCCCCCCACCCCCACCCAGGTTCTGCAGGGACCACACTGAACAAAACAGGAGTGTCTTGCTGCCCTGGATTGTCTATGTCATTTCCTGGCTGGGTGACCTGCAACAATCTGTGTAACCTCTCATTTCCCTTTTGGGGACTCGGAAAATCACATCAGTTCTCAGCACACACGTGAGCCACCGGAGTTTGTGGAGGTCAAGTGCTTTGCCCCAGATGTGACACACTGAAAGGACTCCAAATACACTCGTCACTGTCGATATTTGGTAAGGGGCAGTAGGCACCACACGGGACAGAGAGGGGAGATGGAAGGAGAATGCGTCCCAGGTTTGCATCCCAGGTTTGCGTCCCGGAGAGAAATTCCAAGGAGAAGTGGTGTGATGGGGGTGGGGGTGGGGGTGGGGGTGAGGAGGCCCCAACCCCAGCAACTGCTACATTGACTTTCAGCTGCAGGTTCACAGCTCCAGGGGGGACCCCACGCTCCTTCCTCCCTCGTTATTTAAAGTCGGAGGGGTGTGTAAATCAACCAAAATAATTCACGAGCATCATTAGCGACTCCAAGGCGGCATCTTTTACCGGCAGCATTAAATTAAAAACAGCGCAAAACTGCAGCTTTTTAAAACACATCAGCCCTGCTTCCTCCCCACTGCCTGCTGTAATCCAAAGCTGCCGGGATCTAATGAAATGAAATTAGCATCTCCAATCCCCCTCTGGCTACCCAGTGCCTTGAAAAAACCCATCTCTTTCTGATGTGGAACCCTGAGGAGGAAGTGAGAATTGCAGTGGGCCCCTCCCTCCTGGCCCTGCCCCCTTGTTCTGGGGCCGCCCACCTGCCCTGCCTGTCTTTTTATATCTGGAAGAGTTGCTGGAGACCTCAGGTTGCAGAAGGGCTCAAGAGGAGCCTCGGTCTCGGTTTTTTCCCTTCCCCTTTTCTGCCTAGACCAGCTAATTGCCGTTTTCTGTGATGACACACAGACCAACTGGGTCCAAACCCATTGCTCACGTTCCACCTGTGGAGATGGCCACCATCGCCATCTCCTTCAGCTGCAGGAGTCATTCCCTCAGAACATAGTCTGAGTTCCTCCTTTCAAGGCTTCCTGAGGGGGCACTGTGGTTCCCAGATGGCAGAACTCTTTGTTGTTGGGGGACAGTTTGCATACTGTAGGATGTTTCTCTCCTGTCCCTTCCAGGAAGTAGTAGCCCCCCCTCCCCACAAAATCAGGCCCAAAAGGAAAACAGCCTGATGCTAGCCAGTGTCCTGGGGTCTGGTACCTTCCCCTTATTTTTTCTCCTTCCTTCCTTCCTTCCTTCCTTCCTTCCTTCCTTCCTTCCTTCCT